CACAACCAGAGAATCTGTCCTCCTTCAGGTGTGTCTTTGCCAGAAACCAGCATTAGCATGTCCTTCCCATCTTAGCCAGATCCGATTTTCTTCTGCCAAGTGCCTCTTGTTCTGGTGTGGCTTCCACAGCCATGGACTCAGGAGTCCTAACCTGGTGCCAGTTCCCTGGGACCTCCTCTGCCTAAAGGCCTCGGGGCAGCAGTGAGGTGGCTCTGATTAGCTGTCAGCATCACTGTGCCCCTGGGCTTTTGAGTTCACATCCTGTCCTTAGTCATTTGTCTGGAATGTTTTTAAGACCAGAGCTGTGGGCCAGAGAGTTGTCAGAGACTACACTATATTATAAGGTCCAGAGGCTGGTGTTGGTAATACCTGGTTAACTGAGGAAGTTATCACACCAAAAGGAGGACTCTCTCTATTAATATTATTCAGTGTTTACTGTATGGAGACCAGCCTTTTTTGTTTGTTGGGTAACACAGTTTGGTTTTCTTTGCAGGGCATTTAAATTTTGATGAAGAATCATCAACCAAAGAACAGAGAAACAATTGGGAAAAACACATCAAAGCTCTTCTTCTCCCTGAACTGGAGGTAAGTGGCTCCCTAGTCCTCTCTCCATTAATCTGTGGAGGACTGTTGGCCCACTGTCCTGAGGCGGGCCATCAGAGGCCTCACCTGGAGAAACCTCTCCTTCTGCTATCCCCAGGTACCCCTACTGCAATGGCCATAAATCAGGCCAACAATTATCAGTTCTTACAGGGCAGGCAGTAGCTTGCTCTCCACTGCTGTTTACAGCAGAATGTGAAAGTAAGAGACCCTCCAGAAATGCATCGACAGTCTGGATTCATGACTGCTCTGCTGAGAACATCACAGAGCTGACTATCCACAGCAGGTCAAGGAAGTCAAGAAGCAAAAGGGTGGTGAAATAAAGGCCCCGAGTCTCACTCTGGGGAGGCAAGAACACTATGAACAAGGAACCCCCCAATAACAGTGAAATACAGCAAATGCAAGCATCCGGGTTGCAGGCAGATTCCTAAGGAACCACTGTGGGTCCATGAGCTGCCTGGTTGTCTGTGACAATGTGTCACTTACAGAATGCTGTATCGTTTCTTTATCCAGCATCTAGAGAAGACCCTGCTGACTGTGAGCATGCTTATTAGCCAGGATGAGCGCATCAGCTCCAACCCCGTGGCCAAAATCATATATGGTGACCCAGCAAGCTTCTTGCCCCAACTGCACCAGAAAAGTGTGGTTCATTGCTCAAAGATTTGGAGCTGCAGGAAAAAGATCACAGTCGAATACCTTCAGCACGTTGTGGAGCAGAAGAACGGCAAGGAGGTGGTACCCGTGCTCTGGCAGTTCCTGCAGAAGGTGTGTCTGCTTCATGGGCTGCCCCCTTTTCCTGGTAGACTTCCCCTGAGGACTGGGAGGCCCCATGCTTGGGTTCAAAGTCATCATTCCTAGGGGCAGAACCCTAACCAATCCCATCAGCACTGTGATTCTGAATGCAAGGCCTGTAGCATGAGTCTCAGGGAGAGTGCAGAGGTCTTAAGACACATCTGCTGAAGTCACAGGTGAAATATGCACATGAGTGCGGTTAGTGGTGATCTGTTTCGAACTTGAAGGCCAGGAGGGACCACCGTGAGCACTCAGTTGTGATGCCTTGTCTTCATCCCCAGAAGCTGAGCAGGTGGTCACCAGCAAGTCCCTGCCGAACAGTCAAGAATGCACACCAAAACCACACCAGAGCCCGCCCTGTGCCCTGCAGGCAGGAGGCAGTGTGCTGCATGATAGGGCTGCAGAGTGTGGAGTCATACTGCCAGGCCCAGAAACTATCCCCAGCTTTCACCCACTTGAGCTCTCCTGGGCCACAGTAGAGGTTCTCGCCAGCTCCCTCATGGACCAGTATCACAGCTGGCAGAGAGCAGAATGATTGGGGAATGTCTGGTGCTCACACTAGGAAGGACTTCATGTTAGTGTTGTGATCTCTTATCAAGATATGGTTTCATTTGACCGAGGATGCTGGATCCTGGCCCTTCAGAACAAAACCCAAAATCACATCAGCTACCACTGCAGTAGGCCTTGGTGTTTTCTTTCAGCAGCCTCACACCCAACAGTGGACCCAAGAGTCAATTTTTTAAAATTTTTTCCAAATTATTTATTTTTATTAATTCATTAGTTGTACACATTAATGAGAATAGGTGTGATATTTCCTTGTATGCATATAGCATGCACTGATCTTGTCTCTATGTGTGGATTGTTTCACCTAAAAGAATGTCATCTTGTTCTATCCATTTTGCTGAAAATGACTGGAGTTCATTTTTCTTACAGCTGAATCATGTTCTATTACATATATAAACCACATCTTCTTTATCCATTCATCTGCTGATGGCCTTCTAGGCTAATTCCACATTTTAGCTATTGGGAATGGTGCCACATAAACATGGGTATGCAGTACCTCTTTGATACACTGATTTCCTTTAGAATGGGATAGTTGGATCAAATGGTAGATATTTTTTTTTTTCAGTTTGAGGGAACTCCAAACTGTTCTCCATTATGAGGTACTAATTTACATTGTCACCAGAAGTATACTAGATTTCCTTTTCCTCTTCCTCTTTGTTAGCATTTGTTATTTTATGTTTGGGTTCATCTTTTTTGGGGTGGAGGACTAGTGGCAATTGAACCCAGGGCCTTCTTGGGCTTGCTAAGCAAGCAATGCTCTACTACTGAGCTACTGCCCCCATACCCAGCTCCCCCACTATCTTTTTTTTTTTTTTTAAAGACAGAGTCTCACTAAATTGCCCAGATTAGCCGAGAACTTGTGACACTCCTGCCTTAGGCTCCTGAGTAGTTGGGATTACAGGTGTGTGCCACCATGCCTATCTTATTTTTTAAATAAGAGCCATTCTAACTGTGGTGGGATAGTATCTCATTGTAATTTTGATTTGCATTTCCTTAATGGCTACTGATATTGAGCACTTTTAATATATCTGTAAACCATTTGTATTTCTTCTTTTGAGAAGTGTCTATTCAGATCATTTACTCATTTTTAAATTGGATTACTTGGATTTTTTTATTATTAAATTTTTTAAGTTATATATTCTGGGTATTTACCTGCTATCAGGTGAAGAATTGGCAGCTATTTCTTCCATTCTGTAGGTTGTCTCTTCACTCTGTTTTTTCTTTGCTGTGCAGAAACTATTTAGTTTGATATAATCCAATTTGTCATTTGCTCTTACTTCCTGTGGTTTTGGGGTCCTATCCAGAAACCCATTGCCTGTGCCAATGTCCCGAGTATTTCCCCTCTTTTTCTGCTGGCAGCTGCAGAGTTACATCTGGGTCTTTGGTCATCTAGAGTTGATTCTTGTGCAAACTGAGATTCGGAACCCAGCTCAGTCCTTGAGGCAGCTTTTCATTGGAGGAGGGCGGGGACTTGATCCAGTTCATTCTACATCCCTCACCACTTGATGAAAGGATGGGATGACCTCTTTCCCATTTGCAAGCTTCAGGGTATAATCATGTAAAACAATCCACTGACCACATTAAACCACTAAATCCCTATCCTGCCCCCAAATCTATACACCCCATGTTGTTTCTCAGTTAAATAGAGGAAGTGTTACTGAGCCATCTTCCCTTCTCCAGGAGGCAGAACTGAGACTGGTGAAATTCCTGCCTGAGATTTTGGCCCTGCAAAGGGATCTAGTGAAACGATTCCAGAATGTTCCAAAAGATGAATACTGTTCCATCAAGAATTTTATTAGCAGTCACAGTTCAGGTATGACTGCTGTCTGCTCCAACAAAAGATCAGGACCATCCATGTTTGGTGGTTCAAAAGGATCATTCAGGCTGGGACATGAGGGTGGGGATCAGGTCCTAAGGTAGAGAATGAGGCAAAGGATGCCAAATCCCAGAGATGGGCCATAAGCCACTGCTGTGGCTGGAAAGCCCACCCCCTCTCCAGCTTCTCATACAGCCTCAAACTTGAAGCTCAGGCATGCTGCTGAGTATGGGAAGGTGCAGGGTCAGGTTCTTGGGAGCACACCTTGTGGTCTGACCCTGGCCAGGGTAGTGGTAGGGGTTGTTTCCATGGGGTCTTACCAAGTGTTGTGTTCAACAGATGGGCTAAGGCAGCTATTCCGCAACAGGATCACCATCTTCCTGTCGACGTGGAATGCCCTGAGGCAATCACTGGAGACCAATGGTAAGTGTCCTCCTCCACGTGGCTCTGCCAGCACCCTGCTATGTATGTGGCAATGCAACCTGTTGATGGAGGTGCTGGGATACATGAACCAACCTCCAAAGTAACCCTCAGTCATCCTGAATCTATAAATATAAAATCAGAAAGGAGTTGCGAGCACTGGAAACTTAATGGCCAGGGCCCAGCTCTATGGAGAAGGCTGCCCCTGGCTGCCCTCCTCCTCCCCTGCCTCCAGGCTGTGACCCAAATGCCTGAAGCAACATCCCTCTACCTAGGAATGACCCTGTCTTTTAAAGGTGAAATCAAGTTACCTAAAGACTACTGCAACTCCGACTTGGATCTGGACACAGATTTTGAAGTCATCTTGCCCCGGCGTCGGGGCCTAGGTCTCTGCTCAACTGCATTAGTCAGCTACTTGATTAACCTTCACAATGAAATTATCTACACAGTGGAGAAGTTCTCCAAGGAAAACAGCAGGTACTGCGTAAACCCACCACCCTGCCACCAAGCCAGGCTGTAGACTCCAGCCAGCAACAGCTCCTATCCCCCAGACCCTCTCTCAGCCTTCCTCAACAAAGCCTCATATTTACACATGGTTTTCACTTACTCACTCTATGAGGGCAGAAGCAGGAGCATATTCCCCAAAGCCCTAGGCCCCACACACCTGCTCTGGACACCAAAAATTGTATCTTGTGTCCCTCAGCTATTCCGTGGATGCCTCGGAGGTCACTGACCTGCATCTTGTCAGTTACGAAGTGGAGCAAGACCTGATTCCACTGATTATCTCCAACTGCCAGTATCAAGTGGAGCAAGGTGGGGAGACGTTGCAGGAATTTGACCTGGAGAAGATCCAGCGGCAGATTAGCAGCCGCTTCCTCCAGGGCAAGCCCCGGCTCACCCTCAAGGTAGGCTGGGCCCTCTGCCAATGATCTGCTGTAGTTATGAACAGCCCTTGTGAGTTTCAGGGGGAACAGACTGAAGTGACACCCAGGGTCTCGTCTGTGTTATCGCCTCCCCACTGTGTTCTGTGGTCCCTATGCCTTCTCTGGGCCGGGAGGTGTCCCCAGCTCTCTTCCATATCACCATCACTATCTGCACCTGTCCCCCAGGGCAGCCTCATGTCTCAGTGGACTGGGTTTCCACTACAGTTAATGGCACCACCAAGAAGACCTCACTGCTGCCACCCCTTCAGTTGCATATGCAGTACGTGCCCAGGAACCACCACGCAGAACTTCCCCATTCCCTCGTCCTCTAACTGCCATGGCTGTGGCTTCAGTTCAGAGCATACAGCTGTCAGTCCAGCTGCCCAGTGCCAGCAGCACCACTTCATCTTAGTTTCCTGCCAGAATGCCCCCATGCAGGGAGCATCAGTGCAGGCACCCCTGGAAAGGGGCAGTCAGGAACCCCCACCCTCAGCCAGTCCACAGCATGTAGACAGTATTATAATGGCCTCCACCACACTCCCCCATCTGGCACAGGGGCCCTGTCACCTGGCCCCAGCCCGACCTTCCAGGTGTCTCCAGCCCCTTCCTTCCTTGCTGCATCAAACCCTGTGACCTGCCTCCTGACTCCCTGAGCACAGTGGCTCTTGTCTCTTACCATGGCTGCACTCATCCTTCCAGGTCCAGCCAGGTGTTATACTCAGATGTATCTATTCCCTCATTGCCTGCAATCAGCCTGTCAGTTGTTAGATCCCAAAGCCATTTTTTAAAAAAAAATTAAAATTTTTTTTATTTGCTTCAATTAGTTATACATGATAGTAGAATGCATTTATGAACTTTGATATATATAGATAAGATATAATTTCTCATTTTTCTGAATGTACTTATAGATGTACTGCATGAATGTACTGCATCACATTGGTCATGCAGTCATATCTATATATAAAATAATAATGCCTGTTTTGTTCTACTATCCTTCCTATTCCCATATCCCATCCTCTACCCTCCCTTCACTTCCCTCTACCTAATCTCAGATAACTCTGTTCTTCTCTAGTGCCCCACTTATTGTGAATTAGCATCCACATATTAGAGAAAACATTCAGCCTTTGGCTCATTTTGCTTAGCATGATATTCTCCAACTCAATCCATTTACTGGCAAATGCCATAATTTTATTCTTCTTTAAGCTGAGTAATATTCCATTGAAAATATATACCACATTTTCTTTATCCATTCATCTATTGAATGAATAAAGTTGATATCAGTTGGTTCCATAGTTTAGCTGTTGTGAATTGAGCTGCTATAAACGCTAACGCAGCTGCATTACTGTAATTTGCTGATTTTAAGTCCTTTGGGTATAAACTGAGGAATGAGAGAGCTGGGTCAAATTCCAAGTCTTCTGAGGAATCTCCATACTGCTTTCTATAGTGGTTATACCAATTTTCAGTCCCACCAGCAATGTATGAGTGTACCTTTTTCCCTACATCCTCACCAACATTTACTGTTGCCTGTATTCTTGATGACTGCCATTCTGACAGGAGTGAGATTAAAATCTTAGTGTGGTTTTGATTTGCATTTATCTAATTGCCAGATATGTTGAACACTCTTTCATATATTTGTTGATCGATTGTATTTATTCTTCTGTGGATTGTCTGTTCAGTTCTGTAGCCCATTTATTGATTGGAGTATTTGGTTTCATGGTGTTGAATATTTTGAGTTCTTTATATATCCTAGAGATTAATGCTTTATCAGAGATGCATGTGGTAAAGATTTTCTTCCAATCTGTAGGCTCTCTTCTTTCATTATTGTTTCTTTTTCTGAGAAGAAGCTTTTTAATTTGAATCCATCCCATGTTTTGATTCTTGATTTTACTTCTTGTGCTTTAGCGGTCTTGTTAAGGAAGTCAGATCCTAGGCCAACATGCTGAAGATTTGGGCCTATTTTTTTCTTCTATTAGTCACAGGGTCTCTGTTATAGTGTCTAAGTGTTTGATCCACTTTGAGTTGATTTTTGTGCAGGGTGAGAAATAGAGGTTTGATTTTATTTTGCTGCATATAAATTCCCAGTTTTGTCAGCACCATTTGTTGAATATGTTATCTTTTCTCCAGTGAATATTTTTGGCACCTCTGTCCATATTTATGTGATTGGTCTCTGTGTCTTTTATTCTGTACCATTGGTCTATATGTCTATTTTGGTACCAATACCATTCTGTTTTTGTTACTATAGTTCTATAGTATAGTTTAAGGGCTTGTATTGTGATGCCCCCTGCTTCACTTTTCTTGCTAAGGAATGCTTTGGCTATTCTAGGTCTCTTATTTTTCCAGATAAATTTCATAATTGCTTTTTGTATTTCTATGAAGAATGTCATTGGGTAGTATGGCATCTTGACAATATTAATTCTGTCTATCCATGAGTATGGGAGATATTTCCATCTTCTGAGGTTTTCTTCAATTTTTTTCTTTAGTGTTCTGTAGTTTTCATTATAGAGGTCTTTCACCTCTTTTGTTAGGTTGATTCCCAGGTATTTTATTTTATTTGAGGCTATTGTGAATGGGGTTGTTTTCCTAATTTCTTTTTCAGTGGATTCATTGTTGATGTATAAGAATGTGTTTGATTGATGGGTATTGATTTTATATCCTACTACTTTGCTGAATTCATTTATTAGTTCTAGAAGTTTTCTGGTGGAATTTTCATCCTGACAGTGGCGGCCTTTTGCACGGTCTCTGCTCAGTGTTGCTTGATAGATCACAAATGTGCACTGCACATTCCCATTCCTCATCATTCCTGATCTGCCAATGTTCTTCCTCTCTTGTGGTCCTCAGATACATTATTCCACAGGGCAATATCTGCAAAGCCACTGTAGCCAGGCTGGATTTCTTGTGTTACTGTGTCCAAAGAGTGAGGGTGGAACAGAGTCATCAGGAGACAACAAAGTTACATGCCTTGCCCAGGTGTATACTGTATGGCTTGGTACTTCCACTGAGTCACTGCTGAAGAATACATCTGTCATCAGATGGAAGTCTCCTCTATGGATTTAATGTCCAAAAACTTTTTTTTCTTTCTCATCTTAGGGGATACCCACGCTGGTATACAGACATGATTGGAACTTCGAACATCTCTTTGTGGACATCAAGAACAAAATGGCACAGGTGATCATGATAAACTCTCACTTGCAGGATACATACATACATCAGGACAGTCCAGACCCATCCTGGTGTCTGCTGTGAGGACTAGGCTCTTTGGCTCCCTAAGTACCCAAGGGGCCCCCTAATAGCCAAGTGCTCTCTGGAGAGACAAGCAAGATGGCAGATCACCAAATTTTCTTGATTTACAGACTAACCCCTCAGGGGTTGTTTTCTTAATGAGATATCGTGACCATGGTGCTACAGGTCAAGAACTCGCTCACTCATTCCCCTTAGGTTCTGCTACTGACAGGTGGAGAGGCTCTTGTGCCTCTCCGTGTCCTCATGGGTCATGTATAGGATTCAGTTAGCTCAGATCCATTTCTGTGCAAAGTCTGAAATGCTGCCACACTCAGCATCAGCTCAAGCACAAGCATCAGCTCTTACCACAAGTGCTGGATAGCTGGCCCCGCCTGGGCTGGCAGCTCACAGTTAGGGTCTTACCAAGTAGGAGAAGCAATAGCCTGACCCAAGCCTCTGCTTTTGGTTTTAGAGCCCCCTTCCCCACTCAGCAATGAGTACCATCAGTGGAGAGCTTCAGTCCTACAGCAGTGCCTGTGAAGCCCTCTCTGTCATAGAGGTCACTCTGGGCTTTCTAGGCACAGCTGGTGGGGATCCAAATATGCACCTGAATGTGTATGTCCAAGAAATCCTGCGAATGGACGACCAAACAACTCCAGTTTTAAAGGTAGGTGTTGTGCACTTTTCAAGGAGAATCAGCATAACCTCATCTTAGTTTCCTGCCAGAATGCCACCATGCAGGAGCATGGTGCAGGCATCTGTGGAAAGGGGTGGTCAGGAACCCCCACCCCTAACCAGTCCACAGAATAGCAGCACACACTGGGGACAGGAGAAGCAAGGACACTCAGTGCTGACCACCTAGTAGAGCAGGATGCACAGGTGACTGAGGACATTGACTACCTCCTCACTGCATGATACTCACAGATATGAGCTGCTGCAGGAGGGGGAGTCTCTCAGATGTTTGCAAGATGAGGCAGGTAGACTTGAGGATGGAACAGAGGTGGCCTCATGACAGGAAATGGATGAAGCAGAGAGGAGTGCCCTGGGGTAGTACACAGAGTCATTGGAGTGTACCAAGGGAAGGTGTGAGCCTTCACCTCCTACTTGGGACTCTCTTTCTCTTCCAGGCCTTAAGCAGATGTCAGTTAAAGCACGTCATTGCCCTCTGGCAATTCCTCTCTTCTTTTAAGTCAGAACAGCTACTGCGACTGAAGAAAGTTAGTCTGCCCTGCCTCTGCCCAGACTTAGGGAGCCGCACACTGATCCCAGGCTTTGATGTTGTACTTGATCATCTTTTTTAGGATCCCTTTCAGGAAATCAGTTCTAGGTACAAAGCAGATCTCAGCCCAGAAAGTGCTAAGCTCCTCAGCACCTTCTTGAATCACACAGACCTAGATGCTTTCCTCATGGAGCTACATGAGCTGATGGTGTTGAAACTAAGAAACATCCAGACCCAGGACAGCTTCAACCCTGAATGGAGGTACTGTGTGTACACCTGCTGGCAGGCAGGTTTGCAGAATGTTTGCTGTTTCCCATTGACTTGAAGGTAGTTCCATCTTATCACAGGACCCTCTGTCTTCTGTTCTCCATCATCAGAGCACCTGAGGACTTGCTTCTTTAGTTTTAATCTTTTGGAGACATTTTAAAACAACTACAAAATCCTATATTCTCATTATAACAAGTAGACCTAACTATGTCAAAGAGGTATGCATTTTAGATTAGGTAGAAAAAGCTACACCAATGTGTGAAATCTAAAATATCCATAATTATATGAATTTACATTTGTGTCAAACTAATGGCAAAAAAATAGTATCTTGTTTTCATTTGTGTTTCCCTACCTACTTGTGCAGCTGGGCACATTTTTAAGTCTATCACCATTTGTTTATCAGCCCTCAAATTATCTCTTGGTCGCTTTTGGTTATTGGGTGGGGAAGTTGATCTCTTTCTTTTCTTCTTTTGGTGCCAGGGATTTAACCCATGAGTACTTAACTACTGAGCTGCATCCCCAGCTCTTTTTATTTTTTATTTTGAGATAGATCTCACTATTGCTGAGGCTGGCCTCAACTATGCAATCCTCTTGCATCAGCCTCCTGAGTTGCTGGGATTACAGGCATATGCCACCACACCAAATCTGTTTATCTCTTTCTTGATGATTTGTAAAAAGCTCTTTGTATAGAACAGATTAATCTTTGATCAATATGTAACAAGTGCACTAGAAGTCAATTCTGATTTTTTTATAAAGCCTCTGTGGAGCCAGGTGCAGTTGTGCATGCCTGTAATCCCAGGAGCTCAGGATGCTGAATCAGGAGGATCATGAGTTCAAAGCCAGCCTCAACAACTTAGCAAGGCCCTATCTATAAAGAAAATATTTAAAAGGGCTAGGGATGTGGCTCAGTGGCTAAGCATCCTTGGTTTTAATCCCTAGTTACCACCACCCAAAAAAAGCCTCCATGGAGACATACACTAAAGGCCACCTTTATCACATCCCAGGGTACTAAACCATATTGTTTTCTCCTGCTGCTTTTATAGTTCTATGTTGTACATTTGTTTCATTAGTCAGTTCACTTTTATGTGTGATATGAGGCAGGCATTTCACTTGACTGGTTTTCTGGATGCACAGTCAGGCTACATTTGCTATTTCTGCCCTCAGGCCATATGGCACATGCCTGTACAGTAAAGTTCCCCTTTCTAGAGAATTTGCAGCCTTTGATAAGATAAAGCATAAGAGGGAACACCTGGCTTTTCTGAATGCCAAAGCTTTGTTTCTGATGCAGCCAGCCAGACCTGTCAGTGGAGTGCCTGAAATGGCCTAGCTGAGCATCATTGAGGGAGCTCCACCCTCCAGAAGCCTTGAGCCTGGGACTCCAGGTCCAGCTCAGGAACTGGGCAGCTGGCTGACCTGAGGCTGACCTTCAGTATTTCTGGTCATAGCACCCCAACCCTGTAAAGAATGAGAACTGATAGGCTCCTGATGCTCTAAACACTGTCTCTTGTGCCTGATTTTGCAGCCTGAGGGACACTCTGGTGAGTTACATGGAAACTAAAGAGAGCGAAGTTCTTCTGGAAGTGGAATCCCAGTTCCCAGAAGAGATACTCCTGGCCAGCTGCGTCTCTGTGTGGAAAGTGGCAGCTGCACGGAAACAGGACCGGCAAGCAAAATAGGATTCTCTACTCTGTCTCTATGTGCTGTGGACACAGCTCCCCTCCCCTCCACTGTGCCTCTGGGGGCACCTGGAAGGAAAGAGTTGGCACAGCACTGAATTCAAGGCCAGCATGCACTGTGCCAGCTGATGGCTTTTTTGAGAGCCAGGCTGTTTCTGGAACACATGAAGATCTAGAACTTTCACTTTATATTATGAATATCAAGTGGTGAGAATGGCAGTTAGTTGAAACTAGAAATCAACAGAAAGGAAGAGTCACAATAGGGGTCACACCCAGCAATGACCTGTGTTAGGCCTGCAGCCTGTTCCTCGTGCTTCCTCATGTTGCCATACAGAGGCCGAATGCAGGGGTTTTGGTGTCTTTTCTTCCCTATGATATTCTGCACACACAGAAGAGAATCTGATTTTCTTCTCTCTCCCAGTCCCTTAAATTCTGAGTACTGTACTCATATTTCTTGAGTTCCAAGTTGTGAAAATAATACCACACTTTTTTTGTCTTCTCACTAACATGAGGAAAGCCAGGGGGTCCGCACATGAGACTCCACTGTAAGTCACTGCTAGATTCCAAAGGGTCAGAGCCAACAACTCTGGAGAGCATGAGACTTGGGACGCTGCTTGGGTTTTGGTTTCCCCATGAATAAAATGGAATTGACTGACAGCCAAAGTGCTTTCCAGTTCTCATATCTTGAGATTCTAAATGAAAGTTTGTCATTGTCAGCATGGATCAGAGGCAGGCTCTCAGAGATGGCATGGGGAGTTTTTGGCTTTGCACTGCATAAGCATGAAGTCTTGGTGTGATCTCAGCTTCCCTGAGTATGTGCATTCCTGGTCCTTTCTTTGGGTCTCAACCACACCAGAAAAACTAAGACTCAGAGCGAGTACAAAACCAGTTCCGTTTCTGAAAAAGGAAAAATTACTCTCCTCAATCTTGTGCTGCATTTTTCATTAAGTTTTGTCTCTGTTTGAAACCCACTTTGATGTCCTGGACCACTGCATAAGATCCTGTACCTCACAGCTCAGAACCCATTTGCAGTGAGATCCAGCCATCCACACTAGGAGGCCCTTACTTTCATGTATATTCCAGATAAGTTAGGGACCCAATCAACTTGAAATCAGGCCTGTGTACTTTTGAGCTACAGAAATGCAAAATGGGGAAGGAGGGCATAGCTCAGTAGTACAGTGCTTGCCTCACATTCACAAGGTCAGAGGTTCAGTCCACAGCACCACAAAAAAAAAAAAAGAAAAAGAAAAAGAAAGAAAAGAAAAGAAAAAGAAAAGGTAGCCTGGCACAGGCCCTGTGCACACCTGCAAAGGTGGGTACAGAAGGAACTGACTCCATTTCCATGTATGAGTTCTCACAGCAGACAATGACTAAGTGCAGTGACAGATCTCAGGTAGTAGCTCCTTTCACAATACACACTTCCATTTAGAGAGCTGTGATGAACATTCCAGACTATGCAAGCCACTTCCCTTTCCACCAGTTGCCTGCCACTTGCAAGCAGGAGGGCTCAGCCTACATGCCTGGGAGGTGGGGGGCAGTTTCCAGGGCCAGGTGGCACTCAGACCCACACCATTCTTCATTGCCACACCCTCACAAGTGGAATCAGGTGTCAAGTCCTTGATGTGAAGACCCTTATTCTCCCTTTGGCATGAACATTTTTTTTTCTCACCGGTATGAATTGTTTTTAATTAAGATGTTTTATTTTGTATGCTATGCTTTCAAATCCTTAACTGTCATATCTAGCACGATTTATGCAAAATTTCCCTGG